TTTAGCCCGATCAGATCAATAGTGTATTGAATGTGTTTGTGATTAGTAGCTCTATTGATTGCAGTGACATCACGTGAACATACCTGAGTGATGGTTATTTCGCCAGGCTGGTTGGAATTAGAATATATCTGCAGGAATTAAATGACCTTTAGGATTTTTTTAAACTTTAGTTTAAATTCTGGAATTTTTTTTCGTGTGCCGTTATTTCAAATTGCGTGTGTTTTAATTAAATCACGTGACAAAGACGGGCGGAAACCTTTGAACGCGCTTTTCCTGTTTTGTTGCACGCCACGTAACGTAACCGAACTTTCTGAATGACAAGAGACACACAAGGAAATTTCAGGAAAGCGTGGACTATCAAAAGCTAAACTAAAAACAGATCTAATACAAATAATCTTTTTTTTTCTTAAAAAAAAATCAAATGCATTTTTAAGCATGTCATCTCAGAGTCTGCTTTATATGTTTCAGTATAATTTATGATAAAACCATATGAAGAAGCAGCTTACCGTGCTGGTTATTGATTAGTCTTTGGGGGGCATATCAGGCCTGTTTTTGGCATCTGTTGTTCTAAATATTTTTAGAAGCGAAGCGGCCTGCTGGACGCTCCGTTTCTATACAAGTTTGTTTTCATGTCAAGTGAAACCGAGAGCAGAGAAGAAACGTGCGTCCAATTCTTTCTGCCAATCGATCAGACTGCGGATAGATCAATATGGCACCAGGGCTATTGATCACTATGGTCCTCTATTGCTGGACGCTTTCAAATGCAAATGTACCTAAATAATAATCTATGGCAACACACTAATTCCTTAACAAACTGCAGGCAAACGCTTTACAAACACAGCTATTCAATGTGCAAGCGATTCTTTTTTTCAGCATTTAGGTCTTTTAAACTTGGCTGCAGAGCTCTGACTGTGAAACAAACTGTTAAACAGTGGGCTGCCGTTTAAAGATTTAACAGGACAAACATGGAACATTCAAAATGCAGGGTGACATTGATTTGGCCTGTAGCTTATTGAAACTTTACAGAAAATGTTGGAAGGCGAGGCTGTAAAAGTTAAAGGTCTGCAGAAAAAAGATCAGGTTTATAAAATTAGGACGAAAATCAAGCACTGAAAAAGCACCGCGTGCACAGCTGAGCGACACAAACGCTGAATAATTGGAATACATTTGGCGTTTTGCCGGCCATGTGAAATTCTGATGTCGTACTTGTGACTGTTAAACAGTTATGTCGCTCTCTCTCTCTCTCTCTCTCTCTCTCTCTCTCTCACACACACACACACACACACACACACACACTTACTTAAAGTAAAGCCACTGGCAAACAAGATACATGTGGTAAGTTTAGTCTCCAGGAAGGCCACACCGGCGCGCGCGCGCGCGTGTGTGTGTACTGGGATGAGTGCAGCAGAGCCCCGTCCCGCTGACTTGCTCAGAGGCCTGATCAATGCGACATTACTAAACACTGCTACTTAACTTTTGCCAATAGCCAGTTTCAAGTAAATATACTTTAGAATACATTAAGCGTGATGCATCAGCCACGGAGTCATTCAAGAAGTCATGAAAAGATTAGTCTGTCTTTATCGAGTGATTCCTGGGAAAATAGACAAGCTTACAGAAGCCCTGGTCCGATTCAAAAAACAAAAAGTCTTTGTGTTACAATTACATAAAATGAAATTTTGTCTTGGAAATTTTCTCATGTGTGGCTTTTCTTTAAAAATAAATTATTATTATTAATATAATAATAATAATAATAATAATAATAATAATAATAATAATAATAATAATAATTTTCGAAAGAGAATTTCACGCAGCGAAAAATAAATTGTAGTGTGCAGTCTGCAGTTTCCAGCACTACACATGAGTAGCAGGGCTTAAACTGCTTCCTGTAATGAAAATGCCTGTTGACACAGGTCAAACACATCACTGGACAGACGTAACTTAAGCCTTTTTCACAGGTTACATTTTTTTGGCCACTATCGATCTTTCACAAATACATTGATCGAAGCTCCGGGTTGAGGGTTCACTATTGATTAGTTGATCAGCAGAGGACAGCAGTGCTTAAAGATAAAAACAAAACGCTTTGGGGCCTCATTACAGACTCCAGCGGTGACTTTACAAACTCACACATACTTTTAGAAATGTTTCACTTTTTAAAAATATAATTTGATGTTAATAACAAGGAAATCAAAACACACAAACAGTGCTGCACAATCGTTGCGTTGTGTGTGTGTGTGTGTGTGTGTGTGTGTGTGTGTGTGTGTGTGTGTGTGTGTGTGTGTGTGTGTGTGTGTGTGT